GAATAATAAAATGATTTTACAACAAACTTCCTTCCATATTCTGCTTATGTCTTAGTTTGTTCTACAAAAAAGAAAAAAAAAACAGCATTGAAGTTACTGAAACAACAGTGCTGTTTATGAAGTCTACTGCTAGCAGCAGCAAACTCTTTGAATTGTCATGTCTTGTCCTCAAATGTTTAATCAAATTGCTGCTGTTAAAACATCCAACTTTCACTCCTCCTCTTGACAGTTAGCAGAGCACAGCAGACAGTCTGCTGGTTTGGTTTCCTCCGCGCTGCTCTTAAATATCTCCAAACTGCCGACGTTACTTCTTCTTCTTCTTCTTCTTCTCATCGTTCTTCTTCTGTTATTCGGGGTTGCGGTCGGAAATAACTTGTCAGCGCATTAGCGCCACCGCCTGGTATGGATTGTTGTTTACCCTTTGTGCTGCAGCGCAGCACAGGAGGGGACAAAAGTGGTATCGGTTAAGAGTATCGGCCGGCTTTTACGAGTACGAGTACGAGTACGAGTACTTGATGCTGGTATCGGATCCGATACCGATACTGGTATCGGAATCGGGACACCTCTAATTATTGTAACCAACAAGACAAATTAAGTCATATATATGGATTTAATTATGATATCAGAATGATCCAGGTATCAAAATGTAGCTTTTAAAGCCAAGAATCTGAAAATGTAAAGAGGTCATTTTGAATAAATTTGACTTAATCCTCATTTCGATATGATGGCTCACATTTATTTTGTAATTCGCGTCATATTCACAATTATTTGTATATGTGTGACTTATATCGAAGTGAGGATTAAGTCAAATTTGGTCAAAATGATCTCTTAACATTTTCAATTTCCTGCTTTAAAAGCTACGTTTTGATACTTAGATCATCCTGATATAATTAATATCAATGTCAATATATTTAAATAGCACACAAAAACATCAAAAGTTGACCAAAGTGCTTCGCAACTCAGCTAAATGAATAAAACAACAGAGCAACACATAAATGTAAACAATAAGATCAATTTAAAAGAGAGAAAACATTAAAACATTATCTTTAAAAGAATCTCAAACTACAAGAATGAAAGGCCAGGGAGTAAAAATATAACGATATAATAAACGGATCCAGAGATGCGTCTTAATTTGTCTTGTTGGGTTACAATAATACATTAATATTTGATCTGAATCCTTATTTTATGTCATTTTAATGAGGAGTTTTTGATGTCCTTATAAAGAGAAAACTTATTTGAATATTGAAATGTCTTCACTGGAAAGAATAACTCAGTGAAAATCTCAAAATTTGATTGGTTTTTCCTCAAAATCGGGTTTCGTGTTGCTAATCCTCAAAAAACTGCTTCAGATTTTTATTTTAGGATTATATTTCAGACAGCGATACATTGATGAGTCATTTATTTGTTACATTTTGACAAAATGCAATTTTTGCAAACGTTTTAATCACATTTGCCCGTTTCTCCACTTTATCCTCATTTTGATGTGATGGGTCACATATTAAGAAGAACAACATTTTGCATTTGGTCTGTTGTCTTGTTAGAAAACTACACCCAGGTTTTGTTCTGGCGCGTGTGGAGTTGAGATTTGTGTTTCGGGTTTGCAGGGTGGACGTGGACTCGAGCGATGAGAGCGACACGGACGACGACCTGGATCAGCCGGCTGCCGCGAAAAACAAGCACCACGACCTGATGATGAAGAGCGAGGGCAGTCGCAAAGGCAGCTTCTTCAAACAAGCGAAGAAGGCCTACCCGATGTTCCCGGTGCACGAGGAGAGAGTCAAATGGGACGAGTACGGTGAAATCATCAGGTACGGACGTTTTAGTGATCATCAGCTTGCTGGAAGCCTGGGGGTGTTCCCTCTTACGTCAGCATTTAATGCTCTAAATCAGAGATTCTTAACCTGTGGCCCACAGCGCCACCTTGAGGGCCTCAGAAGAACAACAGTTTTTAACTTTGGGCCGCAGAGGGACGTGGGACCACATTGATTTTGAATAAGGTGTAATACACTTTCTCACCACTAATAGCAGCAGTGCGCCACTCAGATGTTTAACAACTTTTTTAATATGTAGAAGAAGAAACTTAGAAACCTGCTGAGAATYGAAACTTATTTTAAATGAAAAGTAGAAGCAAAAATGAAAGTAACTCATCAAAAACACCAGTTTGTCACTTATATGAAGAGCAGCTTCTGGTTCTACCATGTAATATTTTAAAAGTTCAAAACATCAAATACAGTTGCAGATATCACTACATTTTAATTTGCGCTTTAAATTAATTTTGTAGTTTATTTTTAAACATTTTGAATGTATTTTAAAGAAATTTTAAACTTGTCAAAAAGCTGTTGTTATTGTTTGTCACTAATAAGAAGAGCAGCTTCTGGTTGCAAAAGTTTAAAAAGGCTGTATTTTCATTTGTACTTTATCAAATTTATTTTTACAGGTTTTTTTATTTGAAATATTTACATTAAACATTTTTAATTTATTTATTTTATGCCCACAATTTTATTTTTTGAATTGTCTATTTTTGTTATTGTTTATGTTAAAAATATATATATATTTGTGCTGATAAGCCTGAGTGGTCTGTTGACTGACCTTTGTATTTGTTCAAATAATTGTTATGGGCAGGTTACAATATAAAAATGTTTCATAATCATGTCTTGTGATTATTTGACAGGAGTTTTACTTTTAAACTGTAAGTGTATTTAATTTAGTTATGTTAGTTAAGATAGTTTAGTTATAATGTAAATACAATAAAAGTTAAACCCAGATTTATAATAATTATCGTTTTGATCCATACATTGGTAATGTCTGACTGGACCTCGTGTCACTTTATGTCAAAAAGGTTAAGAAGCCCTGCTCTAAATGTAAATATTGTTCTTACACTACTGAGGCCAAACAGAGACTTGCTGATTCTCCTAAAGTTTGAAGTAAACAACATTAACGGATCACAAAGTTTATAACTCTGTCTAAAATTCTGTCACAAAATATCCTTCACAAAGTTGTGCTTTTCGACAGGGTGGAAGATTTTCTGATTCCTGAACTGCAAGCCACAGAAGAGGAGAAGAACAAACTGGAATCTGGCCTGACGAACGGAGACGAGCCCATGGACCAGGATCTGTCTGTCGTCCCCACCAAATGCATCTCCAGTGTAGAAAACCTGGAAATAAAGTCAGTGAACCTTCATTATAATGGAGTCTGTTCCTAAACACAAATAAACCCTGGTTCTGACCTCGTTTTTTGTTCTCCGTAGAGCCAGGATCACATACATAGACTACGAAGGTCGCTCTGATGGAGACTCCATAAAGAAGATCATTAACCAGATGAAACCCAGGCAGCTCGTCATTGTAAACGGGTCACCAGAAGCCAGTCAGGACCTGGCTGAGTCCTGCAGGGCTTTCAGCAAGGACATCAAAGTCTACACACCCAAACTGCAGGAAACCGTGGACGCCACCAGTGAGACACACATTTACCAGGTAAAATCTGCTTAGTTTAGTAAATAAGGGCTTCGTATTTGTGACCCATCATATCGAAATGAGGATTAAGTCAAATTTGGTCAAAATGACCTCATTACATTTTCAGATTCTTGGCTTTAAAAGCTACATTTTGACACCTGAATCATTCTGATATCATAATTAAATCCATATATATGACTTAATTTGTCTTGTTGGTTACAATAATACATAAATATTTGGTCTGAATCCTAATTTTATGTCATTTTAATGAGGAATTTTTGATGTCCTTATAAAGAGGAAACCTCAAATTATATTTGAATATTGAGATTTACCAGCTTAAAAGAAACAAAACTTTGCTAACTCACAGGGAAAATGTCAAAATTTTAAGGCGTTTTTCCTCAAAATCAGTATTTTTTGTTGCTACTGCTCAAAAAAGTGCTTCAAAATTTAGTTTTATGATTAAATTTCGAACAGTTCATTCAAATTGATAAGGCTTTTATTCATTATATTTTGACAAAATGCAATTTTTGTTAACATTTTAGTCAAAATATTATATTTCTCCATATACAACTTTTGGACTTAATCCTCGTTTTGATGTGATGGCTCACATTTCTTTTCAATCTCTCTTCACCAGGTTAAGAAAAGATGTAACCTCTCAAATCAGGCCAGCGTCTTAATCCTTTTTATCTTTTTAACAGTGTTGTATAAAATACCACAAAGTGACACTTGAGTAAAAGTACAAGTATCTTACCAAAAAGATGACTTTGGTAAAAGTTAAAGTCTCCTTTAGGAATATTACTAGAGTAAAAGTACAAGTATTTTACCAAAAATACTTTGGTAAAAGTTAAAGTCTCCTTTAGGAATATTACTTGAGTAAAAGTCTTAAAGTATCTGATGTTTTTGTACTTGAGTATTAAAAGTGAAAGTATTGATTTAAAATGAGCAGTTATATTTTCTATAAGGACATTTATTCCAGGGATCCTGCAGTTCCTTTAAAAGGCATTGAATTCATCAATCCAAAAATAAGGCCTTAATTAGCATTAAAATGTCTTAAATCAGTCTTTCAGAAGTCTTAAAAATGTTAACACTTTGTAAATAGGATGACTGTAATTCATCTCAAATATTAAAATAATTGATAACATTTATTTTTAAAATATTCACATGCAGACATTCCCCTTTGACATCACTTCCTGTTATTTCAACTGCAAATATCTCAACTGTTCATCTGAGCAATAAGAAATTCCTTTAGTAATATTTTAATAATGTTTTTCCAAAAATATGTTCATATTTCTTACAAAAATCTTATGTCACAGATACTTTAAGGTTTTATCTACAGCGATTTGAGGTTAAGACCCCACTGTGGGTCCTGAAACTCCAAATTTTAGGTCGTTAGAGGATTTCCAGAAATTAAATTAAGTTGAAACTGACTGCTAAGAAGGTTTTTAGTATGTTTGATGAAAAAGCAGTTAGATATGGATAAAAACAATTGGTCTATTCGCAATATTTGGGTTTATTGCAAAATTGTTCTTTAAATTTAATTTTACTTGTCATTAAAAAGTCTTAAATTTAACTTGCCTTAAACGGTATGAACCCTGTATTAGGAGGCGACCTCCCCAAAACAATACAGAAATGACTATATTGTATTAAAATAATGAATTGATGTTAAATTTAGGATGCACTAGTCCAGCTGTTTCAGTTTTTATACATATATCAAGGCTGCACAAAGCTTTTCCCCAAAATGAAAATCTATCTGAGGGCTGCGGCCAAATGTAATAATTAGGGGTGTAAGAAAATATCGATACACTGAAATATCGCGATATTTCATTTCCCGATACTGTATCGATATTCTAAAATCCTGTATCGATTTTTAATTAAGGTTTAAAATGTCAACTTTCCTGCCAGCCGTTCATTTTTATGTTGTAGTTCAGCCTCTGACCACTAGTTGGCAGCAGTGAGCCAGCCATTCGGCTCCTCTACCTCTTGAGCGCCAGAGAGTAAGGGTAGCATTAGCATTGTAAGTAAACATTAGCTTTTCTCTTTTTTTCAGTAAGAGGTTTTTATTTAATAGAATTTTTGGACAAAAAAATCGCAATATATCGCCTTGTTTACAGTATCGCAATATATCGGGATATATCGTATCGTGACCCCTCTGTTGTGATATGTATCGTATCGCCAAATTCTTGCCAATACACAGCCCTAGTAATAATATAATTCATGAAATACAAATACTTCTTAAGTACAGTACTTTTATTTTAATGATTATGTCCTGCTGGAGTGTGACATGATTTGTGTACAAACTAATACTATCAGAGTTTTATATATTTATACTTCTCATTCAACCACATTTAAATTCATTCTATCTAGGAGGCTCAGTTTATATGGATAATATTTATTTATAATAACAAGCTGAATGAAAACAAGCAGAAATGAAATAAAAGTAACAACGTTCTACTTGTTTTTTATAAAATGTAAGGAGTAGAAGTAAAAAGCAGGCTTAAAAAGTAATTACTCAAGTAAAGTACAGATACCCAAACATTCTACTTAAGTACAGTAAAGTATTTCTACTTAGTTACTTTACAGTAACTCTGCTTTTTAATGTAAAGGTGCGTTTGAAAGACTCGTTGGTGAGCTCGCTGCAGTTCTGCAAGGCCAAAGACACGGAGCTGGCGTGGATCGACGGTGTGCTGGACATGCGGGTGGCGAAGGTGGACACAGGCGTGATGCTGGAAGAGGGTGTGAAAGAGGACGTGGAGGACGGCGAGGCGCCCATGGATGTCGCCCCCGAGCTTGGCATCAGCCACAGCGCCACGGCCGTGGCAGCTCAGCGCGCCATGAAGAACCTGTTCGGAGAGGATGAGAAGGAGCTCTCCGAGGAGAGTGATGTCATTCCCACGCTGGAGCCGCTGCCTACAAGCGAGGTGGGCAACACAAAACGTGTCATGGTTTAGAAAGTTGTTTTATTATCATTTATTAGTTTTAATCAGAAGTTGTGAGAAACAATTTTGCATAATCATAATTTTTTGTCATATCTGAGTTTTTAATCTTTGTGTTTGTTTTAGTACAACTCAAACTACCAGCACAGATGTTAGGATTTTCCAGTGTTTACTACAGGACCTGAGCTTGTTTGCTCAAAATGTTCAGAGTAATGTTTGCAAACAAGAACCAAACCTGATTTCGACTGGAGGAAAGCTTCTGAGATGCATGACAGGATGTTTTAATTAGGGATGCACCGATATGAAAATTTCAGCCGATATCGATCTCCGATATAATTATTGCTGTTATGGTCGATAACTGATATTTACTAGGGGTGTAAGAAAATACCGATACACTGAAATATCGCGATATTTCATTTCCCGATACTGTATCGATATTCTAAA